GCCACAAATAAGATTAATTCCTTTAACTGCTGAAGAGGAAATGGCCAAGAAGAACAGACTAAGGGCGCTTCTGACCGAGACAAGCAGGCCCGAAGTACCGTCGCCCAGCCAAACACAGCCTGCCGTTGTGGCCCTCCCCTCTCAACAGCCGTCTTCATCGCGCCGAACCAAGCGTGCACGAACCACCGAGTCTGAACCAAGTTTGGTTGACGAAGATGAGACTGTTGTTCCACCGATCCTGCCACCGAGCCCCCAACCGGAGCCCCACAACCGAACTACCACCAGTTGGGCACCAAAACTTACATTCAACAACCGAGATGTCCTAGATGCTGATTCGGTTGTCGCCGAAAAAGATCACCAGTTGGCCTTTAGTTTGGCCAAGAGTGTGTGCCTCTCCAAGGATATGGAGCACCACCAGAAGCAGCTAAACACCGAATTAAAGTCCATTCGGTCTGCAACGAAGTCCATGATCCTGGTAAGTAGCTCTGTCCGTTTTTCTGTCTAGTTTTTTAAACTTTTACTTCGGCTCATTTGAAGTCCTTGTTTTGCCAAGCAATTCAAAAAAACTACAACACTCACAAGAAAGTGCTGGAACTCAGAAAAACTACAAGGGACGCTGTGTCAGAAGCCAAAATAAAGTCGGCCGAGGTAGAAGACATCAAGAAGCAAATGGCCGAGCTGCAAGCTGAGAACAGCAGGCTGACCGGACTAGTTAGTTCGGCAGAGGCAGAAAGGCAGAAGACTGCCATAGCTCTGAAGGACAAATACCTGCGCGAGCTGGTGAAGCTTGAAAGAAAGAAAGATGTCGAAATAAAGGAGAGCGCAAAAGAAGCCGGCAAACAAGGCTTCAAGAAGGCAGAAGATGCTTATGCCAAGCAATGTAATGCTGCTAAGGAGCTGTTCTTCAAGTGTGGCTGGAGGGCGGCTGTTGAGAAGCTCGGTCATGATCAACAGACCGAGGTCTTCAACCCTCCAGCCTACTTCATACCGAATTCCCTTTCGGAGTATGCAGATGCCATGCAGCAGTAGTTCCTTGAAGGCTCAGATTCTGATGAAGATTCCTCTTCTGAGGATACTCCGGTTGTTAGTGTGGACCAGACAGTTCGGTTGGAGCCCCCGGTGGAAGACCTGACTATTGATCTTCCAAATGAAACCGTGGTTCCAGCCGAAACCACTCTTCCAACCGTGAGTGAGCTCCCTTCTGAAGCCGGCCTTCATGTTGATGCTGATGCAGCTTTTGATGCCGATATTGAAGAACTTTTCTCTTGATTATGTACTTTTTCTTTTTCTGTTGCTTTTTTATCTTTGTAACCGAACTGTACCCCTTCTTTGTAATGGCTTTTCAATGAATGAAAAATTTTGCTTGAACTATTATTCCGGTTTTGATTCGTATGCTTGTATTTGTAATGCCCTCTATTATTTCAACTGCTATTTCGGTTTTAGGTGGTCAACCTATGCTCACTAGCCAACCACTCCTTAGCCGATATAATCACTTCGGCTGAGAAGTATACGGAGTTAGTTTATCCAGCCAACCGTTTCTTCAGCCATGCCCTTACTTCGGCTGAAGAGTAACAAGAGTTGGTTCATTCCAGCCAACCACTCTTCAGCCATTCCCTTACTTCGGCTAAAGAGTAAAGAGAGTTGGTTTTTTCTAGCCAACCATTCTTCAGCCATTCCCGTACTTCGGCTGAAGAGTAAAGAAAGTTGGTTTTTTCCAGCCAACCATTCTTTAGCCATTCCCTTACTTCGGCTGAAGAGTAAAGAAAGTTGGTTTTTTCCAGCCAACCATTCTTCAGCCATTCCCTTACTTCGGCTGAAGAGTAAAGAAAGTTGGTTTTTTCCAGCCAACCATTCTTCAGCCATACCCTTACTTCGGCTGAAAAATTACATCTTGGATATGATATGTGTTGGGGAGACAGTTTATTGCCCCATTGACAAGTTATTGATATCCTATTAGCAATTATCTTGGATTTAGTTATTTTATTTTATTTAACCATTGTCGTTTAATTAAAAATTCAGGACTTGGGCATCATTGTATGCTGTATTACAGCCCTCGCATGTTGTGGGATCACTTCAGAGGATATTTGATGGGTCTGACAATTCAATCTCTATGTCTCGTTTACAATATCACTACAAGAAAAATAGAATATGACCACATTTTTTTTTCCTGGCGTTTTTTAAAAACGTTCTGAAATTTTTTATGATTTTTCACCTTCTCAGCCAATTTAATTATTTTATCTCGTTTTGTGCGCCGTTAATAGAAAGCTGTGAAATAACGTTTGTTTGTGATTGAAAAGGCAGGTTTCTGATCAAAAGAAGAGAACAGAGGCGTGACTTTTGAGAGAGAGGGAGGGAGGGAGGGAGGGAGGGAGGGAGAGAGAGAGAGAGAGAGAGAGAGAGAGGGGCAAAGAGAGAAATCAGGGCCTTGGATCTTCGATCTCCATCGATTCTTTGGTTGTATGATCTGGAAATTCTTGTTCTGTACTTGATTTGAGTGTATCTCTGTAATATCATTTGAATCCCTCTTATCTAAGTCTATCTAGGGCTCAAGGTTAGAATTTTCTAACATGGATTTGCTACATTCACATAAGATCTATAAACTTTCATGGCTTAAACTAACTATTTATAGTTGATTTCTAGTTTCTTTTCTTTTGTTTTGTATTTTCTCTTTCCAAATTGATTTATCTAGGGTTTTGAGTGCCGTGTTAATGTCTCTGATCATGTACAGGATAAGCAAGCAGCGTTGGATCTGGATCGTTAGCAACAGTGAGTAGAAGTGTCACACCTCAAACTTGCCCTTGAAATTTCGGGCATGACCTACTCAGAAACAGACACTTATCCTGCTATATATAATATCCGGGGTCTGAACGGAAGCGTTAATATAATAGAATAACATGCAGACACATCCATTGAGCCACTACAAATATGCCAGGATCACGACTCATAAATAGACATATAGGGAACATACATCTAAAATAAGGTACATAAATACATATACGTTTACAGGCCCAGCCCAGAAATTGGGCACATACAAAACATTAGATACAATTCAGCTTTGGCCAACATGGAGCGTAAGCCAACAAAATTTAGCAATACTGTACTAAGACACAAAAGGGCTTCTCCAAGTGCCTGGTCATACTTAGGTTGACAAAAGGTAGATGATAACGATGCTAGGACTGACCTCCAAGTTGGTTACCTACAGAATCCGACAAAAATTACAGAGTGAGACAAGCTCAGTGAATAACAGTACGTAAACAGTTTAATATTCAATTTAAATCATAATATAGGATAGTGCATACACAAAAATGGATTCCAAGTAGTTAGTCTGATGCTGTTTTATTTTCCAGAACGGCCTTGGGCCTAGTTTTAACAGAACGGCCTACTGACCCAGAAATACAGAACAGCCTTTTGGCCCAGAAGTATACAGAACAGCCTTTCAGCCCAGACATATACAGAACAGCCTTTCGGCCCAGAAATATACTGAACAGCCTTTCGGCCTTGAAGTATACTGAACAGCCTTTCGGCCCAGAAATATCAGAAATGTACATAATCCTATCAACCTCACATTGCCACCAAGTTCCAATCGATACATATGTTAATGTCGTTACTAACAGAAAACAGAATGGTAATAACGGATATTAACGGTAGATAAATGTACATTCAGTGTACTATTACTCACAGTGTTGTTGCAGAACGGTGGTTCGTCCTGTAGTGTGTCCTACACACATAGATAATACATATTAGTTTCTTTCTCTTTTTAAACCATTTCTTGCGTTATTACATTTCAATTGCAAGTACAATCATCAAAAGGTATCAAACACAAATTCCGAAAAGAGCTGAGGGTTAAGCACGTAAAACAGAGCGAATGGGATTTCTGACCTGGGCCGCACGTGCGGCCATCCCCTCCGCTCGTGCGGACATGCACCGCACGTGTGGTCCCTTCTCTCCGCTCGTGCGGCCGAAAGCAGTAGCCAAACCCAGTTTTTTTCCTCTTCTCCGCACGTGCAGCCACGACCTCCGCACGTGTGGCCTGGCCCCTGTTTGGCAGCTCAATTCCCTACAAAACTCCATCTTTGAAAACACAAAACAAAGTCTCAAAGTGGATAGATTTAACATCAAAATAAAGTGCTAAATCACACAACAAATTAATCACAACACTTCTTAAACCCTCAATCAATTGAATTCAAACTCATAACTACCCATAAACCTTTCCAAAGTTCCCATTATTTTGGGTTTACATAAACACATACATATAGAGCCATCTAGGCTTATAATTCAAACACATAGTTGAGTATTTTCATGAGATAGTAAGGAAGCAAGATGTAGATTTCCCTCCTATAACTCAATTTGGTTCTTAAACATAAATCATCACATAGAACCTTCAACATCTACCTTAACTTTTCCAAACAAAAGGAGAATGTTCACCCATGATCAAGAGAGAGTTTATATAAAGTAATTCTTCATACCTCAAGTTCAAATTAGACAATCTTCACAAAATTTCCCAAATCCTTCACTTGAAGGGCTTCTCTCCAACTCTCACGAATTTCCCTCTTCTAGGTTGCACACAGAAGATATTTTAAGTCAAAGATATCTACAAGCTTTGATATAGATATATATGTTTATAATAAGGCAAAATTCTATCGTTTAATCATCCCAAATTGAAATTATATAGAAAATCTCATTATAGCTTAAAAATCATGCAGATTTCAGATGTCAAATCAATTTCAGAAAATTAAGTCTCTAAGGCGTCCAATTTCGGATTCAAACAGTTTAAGTGCAACAGATAATTTTCTTATTCAATAGATAGGAAGCCATATGTCCAAGTTTCACTTAATTCAACGTAATTTCACATAGAGTTTCACAATAAGCATTCAAAAGCACAAAATAGAGGGCTGAAAAGATACCAGAATCATGTACGAGGGTTGGGTTATTACAAGAAGCAAGCTGAACGATGTAGAGATGTAGATCTTATTCTCAGATCTATTCTCTATTCGATCAGATCTTCTCTCTCAGTCTCTTTGATCTGCTATTATGGTAATATCAAATATGCTCTCTCAATCTCTCCGATTGAATTTCATGTATTCTCTTCATTGCTCTATGAGATTTAGACCTCTCTCTCTAGTTTTTGATTGAATCTCATTATCTTTGTCACTCTATCACATTTTCCTTATAGAAAATGTCAAAAACAGTTTCTAAAATTGGTGTTGGTGACTAGTTCGTTGATGCACTCCTATGCATATTGATGATGACCGATTTGTAGTTGAGGGTAGTATTTCCTGATGAGTATTTCGTTGATTGATTCTTATCCTACTGACATAAATTTTTTATGGATTTTTTTTGTTGGAATAGCTTGTTGATATTGTGATTCTTATTGTACCATTTTCCCTGCATGTCAAATGTTAGATAAAATGTGTCAATGGAAAACTTTTGTTATTTTTTTTTTACCTTTTAATTTTTAGCCAAACATCAAAAAATAAAAATGATGATGGAACTTTACTGTAAAATAAACTTTCGTCAGTGTAGTATTTTCTGCCAATCTGAAAGGATATTATCTCTGTCTCTACCATGGGATCTTCCAAGCAATGTATTGGAAAAACCAAACTAACCTGACCAGACCCTATGGTTCTCGTGTTTTCTGGGTATTTTGTGCACCCTTAATGATAATAATGTGAAAAAATAGTTGGAGACTGCAACTTCTGATCTACTACTGGAACATGATAAGTTTTTGTTGGAAATATATGTTTTACATTAATCTTTGAGTTGCATAAGATTAATTTTTTTTCTCTCTTCATTTTTCTCATTTTTAATAAATGTATGCTTGAGTTTAAAATTTTTAATGATATATATATTTGTTTATTATTGAGTGTAATCCTAAAATTCTGATAATTTTGTAAATTTCTAGATCACATCATCTTTGGATTATCCTTCAATAGCTTTGAGCCAATCAAATGGAAAAGGTAGAGGATCTGTGTTGTGCTTGTGTAGTTCAATATCATAATCATCATGAATCAATTTATATATGTTGTGCATTGTCAATAAACTAAAGCTGTTGAATTGGCAGTATAAGCTGGGTAAGCTTATTGGACTTAGCGCCTACGATATTGTTCACAAAGGTCTTAATCTTGGATTTTATTTTTTACCATGTACCTAAGCAGCTTACATCTTATGTGAGAAGCTGATTGCATGTTTATCAATGATAGCTTTGCAGAAACAATTGACTTGAATGTGGCTGATTTTGTTATCCATAAACACACACCATATGTTATCATTCTTTTGAAGGTGGCAGATAAGTGGGCCAAAACTCATGGTGGAAGCCTTCCATCAACTAGGGAAGAGAAAAAGGAGTTCAAGGTTCGCACATTTAGTCCCACATTTTATCTTGTCCTTTTTGTTCTATTGCTGTATACTACGGTGGCTTGATTGGGACGTTGAACATCTTAGGAACTGATAAGAGCCAGGATGAGAGCAATGGATAAAGACAACTACAAAGAAGCAGTTGAGGCGTCATTTAAAGTATTTGCTCCTCGGGGTATTAGTAAGTACATGATTTTAATGCATGTTACCCTTGTTTATCTGCATGAGCATGTAATCTGCCAATCAATTGCTCTCAATTAGGACTGACCTGAAGCCCAGTGTGGGCCTCTGATCTGATGACTGAATTTGCTGTCGTTATGATGGCCCATGCCATTGAGGTTCAAAAAAAAAAAAACTAGAGAAACTAATATTAATCTTGCCTAACACAAAATAAAACTCTAAACTTCAAATGGTTTTGCAATAAGAACTACATAATGCCAAAATATTTATAATCCCAACATACATTTTAAATATCCCAAATCACTGTTACATATTTTTTGTAAAATAAATTGATGTATAAAAAGATTGTATTTTTGATTTTTGATTGATATATATTGTTATGTATTACAACTCCTATATATAGAAGAGAAGGTGGTTGTAGGTGTAGGTGGTAGGGGGTGAAGTGGAGGTGGTAGGTGGAGTGGGTGGTACTATTTACAATTTAGATTAACAGCCCCCCTCAAACTCAAGAAGGATAGGTATTAGCCAACTTGAGTTTGGAGAGTGTAACAAAACAGGAAAGTAAACTGATAAAGAAAATAAAATAGGATAGGAGACACGGTATGGTCGTGTCAGACCGTTGTAGGAGACACTGATGGTCGTGTCACACCGTTGGAGAAGATAATGTCTGGACCGCATGTCGGACCGTTGTAGCAGACACTGTGTGGTCGTGTCAGACCGTTGTAGAAGACAGTTTATGGGGTCATGTCGGACCGGTGTAGAAGACAGTTTACGGGGTCATGCTGGACCGGTGTAGAAGACAGTTTACGAAGTCATGTCGGACCGATGTAGCAGCTGACCGGAATCAATGTCGGGACAATTTATGGGGTCATGTCGGACCGTTGTAGAAAGTTGTGGTGGTGCACCAAGGGGGTGACTTAGGGAGTGCGCCATGGGCGACTTATACATGATACTGTGTATAACCCCCCCTCAAACTCAAATAGGTGTGAAGATAGAAACCTATTTGAGGTTGAAATCTGTTCATCAAGTCCATGAATGCTGCTGGGGCATTGGTTACTCCGAAGGGCATTACCAAAAATTCGTAGTGGCCATATCTCTAGAAAACTAGAAGCAATTTCACAATGCAATTAGATAGTAAGCTAGAAGTATGCAAAATCAAAATATACATATGTAACATTAGACAATAGGATGAAACCAAATAAGTAGCATGTGATTTATGTAAATAATGAACATTGTTTA